TCAGATGGAGCAGCATTTACTACACAGAGTTCACTGACAAGCTATGCAAAAAAAAACGCAGACGATATAATCGTGCGATTATGAAATCGAAGAAATCATTCACGATAATGACAGCTGTTTGCATAGCTTCTCAGTGAACTACGGCTCTGTGTAGTAAATGCTGCTCCATCTGAAAGCACGTGATGGAGATTTACTACTAATTACAGAACCGGCTTTACTGACGAGATGCGCATGACTATCGCACTCAATTAATCGTACAGCCCTACAAGAAGATGTGGCAAAAAAAAAAAACAGCTAAAATCGCAGAAATGTGTTTTTAAAAAATTATAACATAATAGTATTCCAATGGCTGGAAACCTAAGGCTGGAATACATTGACTAGTGTCATTTAAATATGCAAAACTATTGTGAAAACACAGGCCCACTTCCTATTTGGCACCTTAACATTCATATCAAACACAAAGAGTTTAATATATCAAAAAGCTTTTGATTATAACAACACTTGACTAAATGTTAAATTTATCTGACCCAAGTTTGAGCACGATCAGATGAAAGCTTGAAAAAGAATCTACGACAGAAATTGCTATCCCAGGCTGCATTTAATTAGAAGAGGAAAAAATAATTATTTCTAGGCCACTTGGGATGAGAAATTGAGCTGTTGGTGGCACTTGAAGGAAAAAAAATCTCAATTTTAATAAGGCTGCAAATAAGGCAGCGCAAACGTCATTTTCTCAGAGCTGTGAGCATGTTGTCAAATCTGCAATGACTTATAAAGCTCTTATTCTTATTGACAGCTCTGCGTTCGTGCTCTAAAGCGCTGGACCCCGAGGACACTGGAGATGCTATCAGTGCCAATTACACTCACATCTGCATTATTGTACTTCCGGTCTCTTTCGTATTGATTTAAATCACAGATTAATGAACTGCCTGTGGGTTATGCATGTAGAGCAGAGAGTGGACATCCACTGTTACACTGACAGTAATGAAACATCCCAGCGCAGACGACACATCGTTCACACGTTAATAAGCGTCGGTGTGCACACAGTCGTAATAAGGTGCCATTTAAAGGTCAGACGTGAGCAGACATCCCCGCTCAGGGAGGAAAATCCAAACCGCACAGACCAGAATGATAACAGTGTAAGAGAAACCGACGATCAGTATCACTCCCTCAAGGCCTGCGCGAGAGGAACGCCAGTGACGCACTGCTATACTTCTGACTTTCCACAGAGTCTGGACCAATTTACAGCTTGTTCTGGCCAAGAATCGCCCACTTATACAAAAAGAGACTTGTTAAAGAGTTCATTTCATCTGAGAACCACTCTTGAGTGGGTTAAACTGGAAATTAACATTACAAAAATACACTGGAATTGTAAAAATTGACATTAAAATCAACAAACACAAAACTCTCAAAAATGAATATTTATATTAATAAGCATTTCTGCCCATCCAAAGTAGTCTGGATATTGACACGGATTTCACCAATTGATTCAATTCCGATTCACAAGCTCCTGATTTGATTGGATTTGATTTTGATTCACTTAGACAAATATCAGGCACAATACATGTGCATTTTTCTTGAAGGGTTAGTTCACCCAAAAATGAAAATTAGGCTGTGTTTTACTCACCCCAGAGGCATCCTAGGTGTATATGACTTTCTTCTTTCAGACGAATCCAGTCGGAGTTATATAAAAAATTGTCCTGGCTATTCCAAGCTCTATCATAGCAGTCAGCGGGTGTTGCAGTGCTTCAGTCCCAAAGAAGTGAAATAAAAAGCGCCCATCCATAAAAAAAATTGTCTCACACGGCTCCGGGGGGTGAACAAAGTCCTCCTGTAGCGAATCGATGCGTTTTTGTAAGAAAAATATCCATATTCAAAACATAATAATCACTTTAATGTAGCTTGCGCTCACAGTTGTACACGGAAGCAGTTCCGGGAGCATGACGTATGAGGTCAGCGTTGCGCATGCGCCGGTGAGTCTCGTGAAAACCAACGTTTGTTTACAGGATCAAAGGAAGCAACGTTTCCTTACTTTAGCAAAGGAAAACCAGTCTCCTCTTGGCTTATATCGAAATCCTCTGACATTCTTCTTTACAAATCCTCGTTTTGTACTTCTAATAAGTGACCGTTGTTTTGTTTTGATCTCTCCGCTGCGCTTCCGCGTTCGTCACTTCTGAGCGGCGCATGCGCAGCACTGACCTCATACGACATTCCGCCCGGAGCTGCTTC